TTATCAAAGGACCTGCAAAGGGACAGCCTAGCAAGACAGAAAACTTTTAGTCAATAACTGCTCTACCGCATTCAAACACCCTAGAAATAAACTGTGAAGTCCCCTCCCACTACCTACCTATATCAGCAAAGTCCAAGTGGTAAATATAGAACTGTGCCATCACCAAGCTATCTCAGGGTGCCCCACCCTTCAGCTGGGATGAGGTGCCAAAGTAGACCAAGAGGGGAGGCAGGCCTTTCATCTCTACAGGCCAGTAAGAGGTCTCTCCCCTGCATATAAGTAGATAATCCAACAGAAGAAATAATATTAAAGTATCTGTTCCAATATGTCATCATAGATTGGTTTTATCCATACTTGAACTTTCTATAAATCCAGTCAAACAATATGGACTCCTCTATCAAGCTTCAGAAGGAATCCAAAAGTGGGGAGTCTGGACATTTACCCTTTCCCCACAGTAACAAGGCCCAACGGATTTTTCACAAAAGTGCAAAAAGAATCCAAGAGGAAAAAAGATAACCTTTTCAATAAATGGTACTGAAGCAAATGAACATCCAAAGGCTACAACAAACAAATCTCTAACCCAAGTCTCACTTTATACAAATTTAACTCAACTAGATCATGGACTTAAATGTTAAACACAAAACTATTTAAAAACTGTTAGAAAACCACAGGCAAAAATCTTTGAGACTTAGGGCTTAGTGAAGAAGAGTTTTTAAACATACGCCAAAAGCACAATTCCTAAAAGAAAAAAATCAATAAGTTGGGCTTCATTAAAATTAAAAATTATTACTCTGCAAAAAGCCCAGTTAAGAAGATGAAAAGATGAGTTGAAGAGTAGGAGAAAATATTTGCAGAACACGTATCTGACAAAAGACCAGTATTAGCAATGTTTAGAGAACCGTCAAAACACAATATAAAACCAACTGAAAAATGGACAAAAGACAAAATATTTCACCAAAGAGCATATACAGATGGCAAAAAGGCTTGTGAAAAGATGTTCAACATCATTAACCATTAAAGAAATGCAGATTAAAACCACAGCGAGCTATTACTAGATTTTTCTAATAATGGTTTGAAAAATAAAGAGCAAAAGAACCAAATTCTGATGAGGAATTTGATGGATCCCTCATATATCATTGGTGGGAATGTACAGTGGCACAGACACTCTGGAAAACAGTCTGGTGGTCCCTTTAATAAAAAGTAAGCAGGGCCTCCCTGGTGGCACAAGGGATTAAGCACAGCACTGTGAAGATAACCAAAGCCTCTGCAGCACGAGTTCGATCCCAGGCTGGCCAGGGAGCCACCCACATGGCGCAGCAGACCTCTCCTGTCTTGCCCGGTGCTTTCGTCAGCAGTGTATTTCAGTCAATCTGCCTATTCTGTTCCCCACTCTGTCTCTGGCTAATCCTCTCACCCTCTGCACCTCTGTCCTATACCCCAGTTCTTGTATGCATAAATAAATATTTTTTAAAAATTAAAAAAAATAAAAAGTAAACACAATGGTATGGTAAAGGCTAAATTTGGACTTTCAGTGGTGAATTTGATGTTGTATATACACATATTGATTTTCAATGATGCACATCTTAATGTGCTGATGCAATGTTGTGATGCAATGTTACTTCAATAAAAAAAAAAGTGAACATGTAACTACATATGACCCAACAATTTTACTCCTGGGAATTTATCCCAGAGACATAAAAACCTGCACATGATTCTTTACAGTAGCTTTATAATCTGGAAGTGACCCAAAACGCCTGCCACTGGCTACATCCACGTGGTAATCCATACTACAGACTTTTCATCAGTAAAAGGGAGCCAACTATCAACATAAACAAACTGGATGAATCTCCAAAAAACTGTGTTGAGTGAAGAAGTCAGTTCCAAAATGTTGCATACTATATAACTCCATATACATAACATTCCTGAAATGTCAAAATTATTGAAACAAAGAACTGTGGCTGTCAGAGTTTGGGTAGATGGTTGGAGCAGGAGGAAAATGGGTGTGGGCCATAAAGGGAAATCTGAGGGTCTTTGTAGTGGTAAAATATTCTGTAACAATATTATAAGATCCTGATTGTGATATAGTGCTATATTTTTGCAAGATGTTATCATTTTGATACACAGGCCTTCTGATTTCTTAAAACTGCTTGTGACTCTACAATGATCTTGAGATTAAAGTTCAGTTCAATTTTTAAAAAGTGTATATAGCAGCAAAGGGCTGAGCAAAGCAAGATTTTCTTGAAGAAAATGAAAAATATAGAAGATACAGAGCTACGTGACCAAAGGACGAGCTACGTGACCTAAGGACGATCTATGAAAGACAGTTTGGAATAAAAGTAAACATACACTTGGTTCTATTCTACAATTTATCTATTCAGCTCATGGCTTAGAAAAATTTTCCTCAGTTGCACAAGGAAGCACTTAAAGAATATTCATAGCAGCATTATTTCTACTAGTGGAAAGAAATTGGGTGCATTTTTGAATGATAATTCCCTGGTTTTGTTAATATCCTATGGCTATGTGAGATGTTATCATTATGAGCCTAAAATTATTTCAACTGAAAAAATTTAACTGAATACATTTTACTGAAAATGATTTAAAAATTGAAGCATACAGTAGACTACCAACTAGCACAGACAGATGAAAGAACTGAGTGCATCAACAGATTAATCCTGGGAACAGAATATTAAGAAAATGCAAGTCATTGGAGAGCATTTGATAGCTTACACAAAGTGCACAGATGTAAACACAACAAAATATTGTTGAAGGACTAATCCAAACTTGATAAAACTCAAAGAAAGCCAAGATTCTGGACTTCTACATTGGGGAAGGAGTAGGAAAGGAGTTGCAATGAAAGAAACCATAGAACCTCAAAAGTATTGTAATATTTGATTTCTCCAGAGAGTAAAGGCATTCCTAATGATGGGTTTTCCCCTTAGCTTACACATGCACTTACTCAAGAAGTTTTACAACATTTAAAAAAATGGAAACAAAGATGCTATGTGCCAAGAAACTCAGTTTAGTAGGTTGCTGAACAATGTCATGGTGGTCACCTTTTGTGCCCCTGGAGAAGCCTGCCTGCACTAGGGCAGGTTGCAACCAAGATCCCAAATAAGGGAAGAATTTTAGGACAAAAAATGTAGGAGAGAGACATGGCGCCGAGCAGACTCTGATTGCTATTAGCGCGATGACTACACTCTGTGAGGTAGGCCAACATCTGCTCCAGCTACACCAATCAACCCATGTCATCGTGGTTGAAGTCCTTGGAGTTAGGCTTCTGTCACTTGAACTGAAAGAATCCTGACAGTCCTGTAAGGCATCCTGGTCCATAGTCAGCCCAGCTGCATCTGGTAGAGGGCCCCTCCCCATGCAATATAATATCTCCCTCCCCTACTGCCATACCACCTTGTGTGTGGAGGGAGAGATGATCAGAAAAAGTACAGGACACCTGAAAGATCGTGCTTTTTCTGTCATGCCTCAATGGCTTTGTCTTGCCACTGGCAGGATGGGAGGGTTTGGGGAGACAGCTCCAGGTGTTAGGAGAAGAGGCAGGTTGGAGGATGTTGCCAGGTTTGGTGCCTTGACAATAACTCTCCTGGCCTTCTTGTGGAGGGGCCAATGCTCATAGAGGCAGGAAGGGCTGTGGTGTGGGAGTCTTCTAGCAGGAAAAACAGAAGTGGGGTGGGAGTTTGCAGGGTGACCCTAAACTTGGTGCCAGACATAGGTGCGTCATCCCTGGGGCACCAAACCAAAGGTGACCGAGAAATAGAACATTTGCTCTGATTTAGGTTCCAGGCATTAGGTCAAACATTCCAAAAACATTTACTAACCCCTGAGCTTGGTCTTTGGGACCCAATAATGGAGCCTCAGCTGCTATTTTCATGGAATTCAATCTCTTGTTTTAACAAGCAATGAGAGAAGAGAGTCTAGTAAACAAACTGGGACGACAGATAGGAAGACATCCACAGAAGCCCAGTAAGTCTGAAAGAGGGGAGCAAACGTCCCCTGGAAATCTCTAAAGGTGAAGGTTGCTTCTCATGGCTCTCTTTTTAAATAAACACACATTCAGAGCTTGTTTCCAAACATTTGCGCTGTAATCACAAATAAGTATTTATTGAACAGCCCACAAAAGAGACCAAGTGGTGTCATGACAGCAAGAAGCAGCTTCCTAATATGTCAGTTATTCACAATGTCTTGGAATCAGTGCCTAATTCTGCGAATCTGCTCTTTGCTCTCACTCATTCACAAGTTATTCTGCTGCCTCAGTGGGGTCAGGTGCACACAGAAGAGAATGGGAGGTTACCGTTCAGGAGCTATTGTTCAGATACAGCTAGCTGCCAGGACAAACAGCGGCAGTGGCAGCCGGGCGGCCCCAGGGTCAAAACATCCAGAGCGCTGTCCTGGAGATGGACGTGCTCGCATTCAGGTCATCAATTGCTCCATCTCTTCCTGGAGGCAGCATATTTAGGACCAAGTGATCCGTCCGAGCGGTTGGTAGGCGTGCCCATCACTTGTGTCTCCTCTGTGGCCGGCCAGGTGTGCAGGGGCACCTCAGAACCCCACCCTCAGCCCCACGGAAGAGGGATCTGGGCTGAGAACCGGGGAGGGACGGCCGGGGCCACGCCGGAGCCAGTCGGCACGTCTGTGCCCACACGGCTCACCGCAACCCGGCCCCCCCCACCCCCCGCACCCCTCCTTCCCGCTCTTTCGGACACCGAGCTGCGCACCCGCGCCCGGGAGGGGGAGGCAGACAGAGGCATCTAGGTGTAAAGACCAGAAACAAATGTCCCCTGACAATTTCCTGTCATTTTCGCGGATTCCAAGGAGAGGGGAAGAGGGGCCGCCGTGGGGACCGCGAGGCCCTGCCGGACGCCGGCGCCTCTCGGAGGCACGGCGCGGGGGTTCGCTCCCACCCGGGTGCGGACTCCGGTGGGCGGGCGGGCGCCCCCCAACCCCGCAGCGCCGCGGGCCCCGCATGACATCAGAGGTTGGGGAGCGCGCAGAGCGCAGGCGCCGGGGAGGAGGGGGCGGGAGCCGAGGCGCGCGGCTCGGGAGACGCTCCTCCGCCCCGCGCGCCGTCCCTGCGCCCGCTCCGCCCGCGCCTCGCTGTCCGCGCCGCGCCTCGGGCGTCCAGAGCGCGCCCCGCGCCCCGCAGCTAGCGCCGCCCGCGGCAGCCCAGCCCAGCCCCAGCCCCAGCCCGCCTCCTCCTCGCCGCCGCCGCCGGACACGCAGCCGCAGGCCGGGCCGGGCCGCAGCTGGGAAGTCAGGGACGCGCGCAGCCAGCCCTTCCCCCTCCGGCTACCGCACCGCCGGCCGCCTCCCCGCGCCTCCGCTCCCCGCCCTGCGCCTTCTCTTTCCTCCTCCTCTCCCGGCCCCGCTGCCAGCACCATGTCCGCAGGGGGAGATTTTGGGAACCCACTGAGGAAATTCAAGTTGGTGTTCCTGGGGGAGCAGAGCGGTAAGTCACCCCGCTTATTTTCTTGGCTTGGCGCCTAGTCGACCCCCCGCAGCCAGAGCCTTCGCCCCTCTGGGACCCCGGGCCCCGCCTCGGGGAGGCCCCCGGGAGCCGGGTGGAAGGGAAGGATGGGGATGGGGATGGGAGGTCGGGGCCGACTCGGGCGGGGCTGGGCAGGGGAGGGGCCAAGGGTGAGGACGCCGGAGGCGCCGGGGTTAGAGGTGGGGGAGAGGGTGGGATCTGGAGTGGGAGTTAGGGGTGCAGGTGGGGCGCGGCGGGGAGGCCGGAGGGCGGCGGCTCCCTCGCGGCGCCGGCCGAGGCGAGGGCTCCGGGCTGGCTCGCACTGCGGCACCGGCTGCGGGCGACCACGCAGGTGGCGGGGCGCCGGTGGGGGTCGGGCGTCTAGCCGCCCCCCGCCTCGCTGCATCAGAGGGGTCCCCAGGCGGACCCTGCCCGGAACCTCGCGTGATTAGCGGCACTTGCAGACCCTGGGGCCGACAGCCGCGGAGGGAAGATCGACACCTGTCTCCCCTGGAAAGAGTGTGCAGGCCGGCCATGGGGGAACAGGGCGCCCACCTCCCCTGCCTGATGTCTGCCCGGGCTCAGAAGCTTCTAGACCCGCAGCCCCTTCAATGGCTTGTGTTAGCATTTTGGGGACCTAGGGGCTTGGGCTCTGACAGCGAGGGTTTCTCAATTCGAGGCAGATTTGGGGGATGGTACGGGGGGCGCCTCTCGCCAAGAGGCCGTATTGCCTGGCGCTGGGCAGAGAAAAGGACCAGGTGACACGCCCTGCCTGGCTTCCCAGCACCCCACCCGAGAGCGTTGGCGGAGGATTCTTCCCACCCCCACCTACCAGCCGCCCTTCTTGGGGGAGGGGAGGTCAACGTGGCTGTCGGCCAGGGGCGGGGGGAGGGGTAGAGAAATGGCTTCCTTGCTGCCCAGCTGCCTTCCTGGGAAAAGCATCACAGAAACCCAGGTTGGTCTCAAGGTGGGAAGATCAGATGGAAGACCACGGACCCCTCTGACACCTGTAGGAAGGAGTGGCTCTCAGAGCATCTCTCCAGAAACCTCTCACGGGAACTGCAGAGGCAAACTGAGTCATGACCAGGTTTCTGCCTGGGTGAAGGTGATACCTGGGAGCAGGGCCCCCAGCTCCAGCGAGATCTAGTCCAGCTCACCTGGTTTGGTGCCTGTCTGTTCAAGGGACCAAGACACAGGCATCCCCCGGGTACCTGGTGGATACAAGGAGCAGTGCCCCTGTGGTGTGTGTGTGTGCAGGCTGTGGAGGTGACATGGTAGTCTCTGCTGCTGCTCAGAGAAAGGTGTTAGGGTGGGCAAGCTGTAACATGGGGATGGGCGTTGGGGCCAGGCTAGGCATTCCAGAGCAAGATCACTCAGCCCGCTGACCCTGTGTTCCAGACTCTGGTTTCTGATCTTAGCAGATTCCATTTTCAGAGCAACTTTTCCCTGGCCAGAAGGAATTTCCAAGGCCTTTCCATCCTAGTACTGGTCTTACTGGGCCTGGAGCCCTCCGGGAGAACTCTGCAAGGATCAGTTGACCCAGGAGTTGGAGTCTGCCTGTGTTGCCTCCAGCAGATTTTGAGGCCTCTCAGCCTTACTTTCTGTCACTGTAAAGTGGTTGCTTGAGGGCAGGTCTCTTAATCTTCATGTTTCCTCAGTGCTTCTCAAGGGGCCTGAACCCTGGTAGGTTCTGAAAAAAGCATTTGTTTATTCCAAGGATGAACATGCTTCGGGACAGGGCCAGGGGGTTGTTGAGGAGAATGTCTATGGTGAGGCTGGGTGAAAACTCTGGGCTCTGTCAGAATCCCTGATGGGTGAGGCTCCTGCTGAACCCTCTTGGCTCCTAAAATCACAGAAGTGAGAACTGAAGACGTGAGAGATGGAGTCCCCACCTGCCCGTTTATGGTTATATGGGAAGTCTGAATCCCAGGGACAGGGAAGGACTGGCCCAGCATCCCGTTATGACTTCTTAACACTTCTGATGCTAGAATCCAATTGCTTGTAGTCACTAACCTGTCATTGGGAATTAAGGTGACCTTGAATTGGGGAAGCCAAAAATTGGGGACCCTCCCTGAGGAATGATGAGGGTTGCCACTCCCTGGCTAGGCTGTGGCTGGGCTGTGAGCTGGTGGGAATGCTGGATGACTTGGTTGGAGGCTAGGTTCCAAGGTTGGACCCTGGGAACATGGTCTTGAGGGACGAAATGCACTGCTGTCAGTGAGACTGAGTATTGGAAGCCCTCAGGCCCTGAAAAGCCTCCTTCCACATTGTTGTGGCATTAGTGAATTGTTTACCTTGGATTTTACAGAGCTTTGGGGGTCTCTCAGGTAGGGAAGATGTGCATCCCTGAGCCTGGTTGTGGGGGGGGGGGGGATTACCACCTCAGCTGCTGCTTCCATTTTGCCTCACGCAGCTTTGCATGTATTGGTCCTTTGTGTCAGCAGCCTCTGCAGCCTATGCAGTGGAGGGTGCCTCTGGGGTCTGGCTCTCACCCCCACCCTAACTCCCCCTTCCTGTATGACCTACAAGGTCCCTTACCTGTACATGGGATGGCTTAGGCCAGCTGAGCTGGATGGAGCCTGCATAAACTGAATCCCCTGGGAAGGGGTCAGAGGAAGGGATGGGGAGGATGTGACCTTTTCTTGTTTCCTGTGCCTGCCATAGAGATAGCATCTCTCTAGGCCAGCAGATGAGAACAGTTGAGTTCCAAAGAGTAGTATAGGGCCTGAAACAGTGATGAGGAGGACACCCTGGGTGGGCCAGATAATCCCAGGGGGCATCAGGCCTTCAGAAAAATTCAGGGACTTATGCTGAGTACAGAGCCTTGAGGAGCCACCTTCAGCCCATGAGCGAGTCCACTCCTCCCTGAAGCAGAAAGACTGCTGTCTCCAGCCCAGGGAATACTGGCTGATTGACAGTGTCAGCCTGGCAGAGGGAGGGTTGTGGGGAGAGAGCTATGGTGCCAGGATGAGGGGTTTCTTGCAGTAGAGAGGCTGTGAAATCCTGCACATGCTCAGATGGCTCTCTTGGCTAGGTGGCCATGGCCTGGGCTTACAGCAGTAGTAGGGGCCAGGGGGGTGATGCACACCAGTCCCGAGTGAGGCTCTTGGCAGCACCCAGAGAGGGCAGCCATGAGCAGGTGTCTGAGGAGGGAGTGCTGGCCTGCAGGGCACACGTCTTTCTCCTGAGCCCCAGTGGCATTCTGTGGGACTGGGCTTCTCCTGACCCTTCTCCGTGTGTGTGGCTGCGAGGAGGGGTGTGGAATGTGTCCTGCGCTTGCTCTGGCTTCTTCTTCTTCTTTTTTTTTTTAATATTTATTTATTTATACAAGCACTGGATACAGTCAGAAGCGCGGGAGGGTGAGAGAATTCACCAGAGCTAGAGTGGGGAGCAGAGCAGGCAGAAGGACCAAAGTACACTGTTGAGGGGAGCAGTGGGCGGCAGGAGAGGTCTGCGCGCCATGTGGGACCCTCGCCCAGCGGCCGGGGATCGAACTGGCGCTGCAGAGGCTGCTGGCAGCTTTTCAACCCAGCGCTCAATCGCTGCGCCACCGGGGAGGCCCTCTGGCTTCTAATCTCCCTTCCCTGAGACTCCTTCAGCTGAGCAGGAAGACTGATGGACATAAGTTGGGGCTGCCTTCCCAGGCTGAGGCCAGCAGGCCAGCTTCCCGCTCAGCCCAGCCAGGCCCCTGTCCCGCCCTCTGCGGTGCTGCACCCTGTGAATTGCATGCCCACACTTGTGCTGGGCAGTGACCCTGCGGGCCGCTGCCTGTGTCATTTAGTCACTGTTCACGTTCTCCTTCCCTCCCATCCTGCCCTGCTCCTGTGAGCATCTGTCTGTTTAATCAGATCGCTGAGTCTACCCCTGCCCTGGTGGAACTTATGACCCACGAGGGAGCGTGGACATCTGTGGATATAATTACGGGAAAGGTCTACAGGAGCTGTGGCAAGGGAAGAACAACTGCTGTCCAAGCACATAGATAGCGGGGCGTCTGATCCACCTTTTGGGGGCAGGTGTCAGAGGTGGTTTCTAAAGAGGAGTGGCTTCTCTAGGCAGCAGGCTAGTACGCCTTGTCTTTGGGTTGAATGCAGGAAGTAGTCTTGCAAAGCCCCTCTAGACAGCTGTGTTTTCTGCCTCCTCTGGAGAAAAAGTATGTGGGGAGGGGTGGTGGAGGATGATGGTGATTTATTTATTTATTTCTACAAGCACTGGGTACAGTCAGAAGCGCGGGAGGGTGAGAGAATTCACCAGAGCCAGAGCGGGGAGCAGAGCAGGCAGAAGGACCGAAGTACACTGTTGAGGGGAGCAGCGGGCGGCAGGAGAGGTCTGCGCGCCATGCGGGACCCTCTGCCAGTGGCCGGGGAGCAGCCAGGGATCGAACCCATGCTGCAGAGGCTGCGGGCAGCTTCACAACCCAGCGCTCAACCGCTGCGCCACCGGGGAGGCCCGATGGTGACTTTCAATGTCCTTTCTTGCTAGTGCATGGTAGGGACTTCCCCCCGCACTTTCATCCCATTCCCCAAGGGCCCCCACTGTCTGGAGGGCTCACCTTCCTGCCCCTGGTCTGGCCAGTCTGACCTCCTCCCTCCCACCCGCCACAACCACCCAGGGACCTGTTTGCCAGCCTGGATGTTGTGCCTGAAACCCATCCCAGGGTGTTCTCCTTCCCTTCACCTCTCAGACCCCCTCGGTGGCATAGCTTTGTTTTTGAGCATTTAAAAAAAAAATAGTCACATGCTGCTCCATGACCTCTTAGTTGTCTTACTCAGGATTTTTAAATTTTATTAACTTCTTTAGATACAAAAACCATAACTGAATTTTAAGCCCCTTAAGGAAAATTTAAGCACCTTAAGAGGACTAGGTCTTAGTCATCTTTCTCCCCTCCCTGTCTGCAGATTTGTGCTCATTAATATCTTGATTTGAAAATGATGAGATTATCCTCACTCTTCAGGATTTGCTGATGGAACATCAGTTGATTAAAA